GGGGGCAAGGCCTCCAGCGATGAACCTTGTCCAACGAAGCTAAATCGCTGGAGGGGAAGCGAATGGAGACGTCCATTCGTGTACCTGCAACCGGAACGTTTGATCAAGCTGTGACTCCACTCTCCACGTTTTTGATTCATGGTTCTTCATGATACCTCCCACAAACCCTCTCCCCACCGCCGCCTTGCGCCGCTTTGCAGCCGACTTTGAATGTCAGATCGTTTTCGAGTGCAGCTGCCAACATTGTTCAACAATACGGTTTTCTGCGGACTCATGCACCTTTCCGTTCCCTCACCTTCCTTCCCAACGTGGGAACTGAGTGTAACTGAATACCAATGTCAGAGTGTGTCACTTGATCAGTTGATTGATGCAGCTGTGATCAAAAGAACCCACAGCCCAAAGAGCACCTTGTTGGCCCAGGAATGAGGATCTTCCGAAGAAGTCTGGACATGCAGAAGACCAGCCTGTCTCCCTGAACCCATGAAGGGTCAGCAGCGCGTCAGGCCTGCACTTAGCCCTTTATCTCAGTGGGCACAAGCCGCTTGGGCAACAGCCTTCAGAAAAAGTGAGAAGTGGGCCGACAGGTACGCAGCATCAGACGAATTAAAGCTAGAGATTGTGATGATGTGTGCTGTGTCTAAACAAGTCTTGGAGCTTTCTCACGAGTTTTTTGCTTGCAAGCTGTGAGCACTCTTGTGTGAAGCCAAGTGCCCAGGGCTGCCATGCCCCCAATTGTGCCACAAAGAGCAAGGTGCAGTTTTGGGGGCAGTGAGTCGGCTTGCTTGATTGTCCCTTTTGTTTGCAAGCGTAGATGGTGCAGTTGCACCCGCACTTCCGACCCATTCAAAAACATGTGAACTCGGGGTATCTCGTGGTGGCGAGCCCTCCGTAACAAGATACCTTGTCATGCTTGGTCAAGGGCCGGTAGTTGTTCTCCTTGAACCCTTGGAACACTTGGCATTTGCTGTCAGAATGCACCTCTTCCATGACCTGTGACAGGGCCCCAGAGCTGCAACTTGAAGATTTCCTTGGAGAATGGCAACTTGGTCCCAGACCGGTGGGAAGACCTTGTTGAGGAAGACTGGGAATTGGCACTGGTGCCCGGCTGAGTCAGAGTGTGAGGCATTTGGGGGCAAGTGATGTTGACTTGGCTGTCGGGCTCTAACTGATTGAACACGAGCATCTCGCAGCTATATTCTTTTCACCCGGATCACGGATCATTCCAAAGTCTTGGCTTGCTGGCTTTCATGTGTTTATTCAAAGCCTTGTGCCATGTACAAGGCACGATACCATGGGCCACAAGGTGACTGTGGAGTGGCCTTGCTGCCATGTTGGCGTGAGGGAGTGGGTTGAGAAGCTTAGTGGCCTTTAGAGAAGTCTATGGCAGTGATGGGATCCTCACCCTAATATGCCCATCATGTGCATGAGTGTGCCTGTGGCTTTGCACACTGGGTTTGACTTCAAAGAGCTTCTTTACCCTTACACGGACTGGCAACCCGGCAGGGCCTGCACCAACACCAGTCGTGGTCAGCTGGAGGTGGAATTGTCCAAGAAAGGCAAGAGTGGCAAGAGCTGATGTTTGCCAGTGAGTCTGCCAGGAATTGTCCAATTGTCGACGACTCGCATGATGTTCCTGCAAGCCTGCAAGCGTACAATCGGAGGGGCGTTCCTTTTGATTCCTTTTGGCCTGTTTGCAGCTGTCCTGGCTCAAGGAACTGAGCAATCAGGATGGCCATTTGGTGCTTGCGCAATGGTCTCGATAGCGAGAGTTCAGACGAGAGTTTTGATAGTGAAGGCTGCAAAAAACCGACAGTTGCCCTAAATTTGCCTCAGCACAACTTATATTATATAGTCCTTTTTTACATTTGAAATGTGTTCTTTGCGATGGAAGGGAGTGAGAGGAAAACATGTAGGTTTGATCCTTCCTTTTTCATCATTTTCCTTATGTTCCTCAGCCTCCTCTTTCTTTTCATTGCGGCTTTCCTGGGATGTATCATTTTTTCGTCTAGGGTTTCGCCAAGTCAACAAGAATCGACCAACTGAGCCCAGACTGAGAGCTGGCAAACAAACAATAAATTATGCATATATTTGTATATATACAGGCATATAGCATAAGCACACAATTATCTAAGACATTTGTCTCCTAGTCGCTCTCCCATTTTCATTGAAGTCATCACGCAGAGTAAATGTTTGGAATGTGACATGAGTAAAGCAAGAGTTGCATTACTTGGTGCATTTGACCCCGACCTGCAACATGTCATTTCAAAGTTCAACAACCCACAGGGTTTGAGCTAGGCCTAGACCTAGCTTTCATTCGCCCAAGGACATTCATTCTAGGAACCATGGGCGGGTCCAAGGATTGGGCGAGTGTCCGACGGCGCGCCTTGTTCCGCACAGCTGCTGCAGTGGTTTTGGCCGCCATCGCCATTTTGGTGCCAATCATCAAGCCCGCTGGCACACTGCAGTTTTGCCATCCAGAGGAGGTCGGTGAAGAGGCCGGGCTTTTGCTGAAAATTTGATACTGGTAGTACAAAAATGCAAATGGCCACAAGGAAGGGTATCCTAAAACAATCTAAAGCAGTTGCTTGTGCATTTCTTGTTTGCAGGTGCGGTGAGAAAACTAGACACAACATAAGATGTAATTACATGTATATAAATACTTGTTGTTTCTTTGTGCGACCAACTTGCAGAAGGTTTGACTTCAGTTCCCGCTGCTGTTCGAGTGTGAGCCGCTAAACCAATTCATAAAACAAAACGCACTTGGAATTGATAAAAACACAACCTTGAGTTTTGCAAGTTTCCACGCTTCCGTAAAGATTTTTTCGTTTCCTCCAATATGCAATATGCGAATCCTTGTGCATTCGGGCGGTTTCAGTGATTCTGCATTTGCATTGTTTACATTAAAGGTCACAATTCCGTTTCCACTCACAAGCGTTGCTGCTCACGGACAGCACAAAAAACACTTTGTATAGCGCTATGGCTCGCTTAGGACATCCCTATGCAGCCTATGCGATGTGAAAGCAGCAAGAGAACTCAACATCCGTAAAACTCAGAGGTGGCAGTTTCACTACACAAAAATGGTCGTTGTTGTTGTTGTTGCTGTCGTCTACTAGTCCGGCGACGACGACTACTACTACTACGACTACTACTCCCACTACTACTACGACGACGACGGCGACGACTACTACTACTCTACTATGACTATGACTACTACTACTACTACTACTACTACTACGACTCCTACTCCTACTCCTACTACTACTACTACTTCTGCTGCTGCTGCTGCTGCTCCTACTTTTGCTGCTACTGCTCCTTCTACTTCTGCTGCTACTACTCCTCCTGCTACTCCTGCTTCTGCTACTACTACTTCTGCCACTAATACTACTACTACTACTACTACTACTACTACTACTACTACTACTACTACCGTAGATGGACGAAATATTCAAACCCATTCAACCACGAGGACCCCTTCTACCCCAAAGCTCAATGTTAGAGGTCTTGCAAGAATGTTTCGGCGAATGGACGAAACAAATCAAACCCTGTCTGCACAAATTCAATCAAGTTATGTTCAACATTGACCTTTGGGGGTCAGGGGTTGGCAACAGTTATTGATACATGGGTTTGAATATTTGGTCCATCTACTGTCTAAAGGTGTGACGTTTGCATATTTTGGCTCGTAAGTATCAAGTCTAACATCTTCATCCGTAGTACTCTGTGTTTTAATCTTCTGCGCTCCTCAACTCTTTCACATCGACACGTTGCGAGCAAGGACAGCAGACGTCAGGAAAGCAAGCCAGATGAAGAGCAGTTCCAGCTACTGTTCTTGCTGTTGCCATGTGCCGTGTCTGTTCCCAGTGCCTTTTTCAGTGCCTTTTCACGGTTTGTGTGCGCCTGCCAGTATTTTTGCCATGTGACTCACTTTTTTGCTAAAAAGAGAGAGCTTATCTTTTTGTTTCAACAAAACTTACCAGAAACACATTTTTGCTGGCAGGGCCACGAGAAAGTGCAAAAGGCACTGGAAAGGGACTGTGAACAGACACGGCACATGGCAACAGTAAGAACAGTAGCTGGAATTGCCCGGCATCACTTAAAAGCAACACACGCATGTGCATCTGTAGGTCTCCGGTCGCCGTCCACACCCAGTACTGTCTAAAGGTGTGACGTTTGCATATTTTGGCTCGTAAGTATCAAGTCTAACCTAACATCTTCATCCGTAGTACTCTGTGTTTAAATCTTCTGTGCTCAACAGCTCTTTCACTTCGACACGTTGCAAGCGAGGACAGCAGACGTCAGGAAAGCAAGCCAGATGAAGAGCAGTTCCAGCTACTGTTCTTACTGTTGCCATGTGCCCTGTCTGTTCCCAGTGCCTTTTCCAGTGCCTTTTCACGGTTTGTGTGCGCCTGCCAGTGATTTTGCCATGTGACTCACTTTGTTGCTAAAAAGAGATAGCTTATCTTTTTGTTTCAACAAAACTTACCAGAAACAAATTTTTGCTTGCAGGGCCACGAGAAAGTGCAAAAGGCACTGGAAAGAGACTGGGAACAGACACGGCAACAGAAAGAACAGTAGCTGGAACTGCCCGGCATCACTTGAAAACAACACACGCATGTGCGTCTGTAGGTCTCCGGTCGCCGTCCACACCCAGTA